GTAGTATGTAGGAGTTTGTTTCCAACTGCCACTGGTCATGGAAGAAACAGCAAGAATTTTATATCAAAGAGATTGTCACATTTATCACAAAACAAGGATTTTGTATTCTAACTCATACAACTGAATAAAATAAAAGTTGGTTAGAAATTGTTAGGATATGTGGGGTTAGAGTTTAGGTTTGGGAGTTGCTAGAACAGCATACATTTGAGCTTACACAAGCTGCACAGTGTGGTCAGGTATTTGCACTCTCCAATAAATCCACACCCTATAGCCAAGGTCAAAAACAAATACCACACAAACTTGCCAACACAGCAGATTACCATTGCTTGCCAGGTGATGTTTTCCACCACCTCCCTTGTGATCACAATCACTCTTCACACTGTGTTATTGGATTTTCCCTTGGAAAATCATTTTGTATCTTAATCAAAATCAAAACCTCTTCCTCTCTATGGAAGTGAGCATCCATAGAACCATCAGTTTCAATACACATTGGGTGCAAAGACATACAAAGTTTACATGGATAAAAAGGCAGGAGGCAAAGTACAGTTTTGCCTGTGACAATTTCACTGCGGCGCCCGCCGCCCAATTGTGCTAGTCTATTTAAAGCAATGTCAGTTTATGCCATTAACTCAGAAATTTTAAGAAAGAAATTTTGTATTTTGAATTTGAAGACGATGAAGAGTTTTGTATTATAGCTCGCATTCTATGTGAAGAAGAGCAGTGGATTTCGATAAAACAGCTCTCATTCAATCACAAAGAGCAGTGGGTAATAGCTCACATTCTATAATTAGAAGAGCACTGGATATTTAACAGCATTGGATCATAGCTCACATTCTACCAGTAGAAGAGCAAAGGAATCATAACAGCTCGCATTCTTTTTAGAAGAGCAAAGGTATAAGAAGTTTGTAGTGAAGTGGTTTATGATTCTTGATGTTGATGGAAGATTATATTATAACATCGATGAAGGATATATTGTGAAATAAGAGTGGAATAACTTTTCTCACTATCTTTGTTATCTTCTCACTATCTTTGTTATCTTCTACATATTCAATTGAAGAACCTGAATCGCTGTCTTTCTCATCTACATTCTCATTGAACTCGATATCTTCCATTTCTTCTAAGTTAATATCGTCATTTGTTATATGTGTATCATTCTTCTTCTTCTTGGTTTTGTTTGATGTATTGAGTCTAATTGCTTCTAACGCATCTTCTCTATCAATTCTAGCTTGTTCTTCCTCTTTGGTTTCAATTTCAAAACTTCTTTCATCTTCCGAAGGTGGTGGAGTAGGTTCTGGTGAGAATTCTGGTGCCAAGTTTCGTCTTCTTCTACTTGTTCTCATCGTGAATTTTGAAAAAGTCTTTGCCCGAGGAAAGCCCACGCTGAGGGAAGATGAAGGGAGGCTAGGGCGTGAGAGAGAGAAACAATGAGTGAGCAAGGCGGGAGCCAAACACTCGTCGATCTGGGGTAATCCTTTTACTCAGCTTGTCCCATCCGTGCCTGAAAGTCTTGTTCAGGGCAGCACCGGGAGGGCGGTTGGATAGCTCACGTCATACACTCAGAGACCGTGTGATTCAGAAGTGTCTAGTCACGCGGAGGGCTTTCCAGTCTGTGACATGGACAGGATTTATTCCTAGTCCCGTTGTCACCAATCTACAAACAAACAAATATGCAAAAGCCGAGTCTTCCTACATTGGATTGGCATAAAATCTCAATGTGCTGATATTCTCACAAAACCATCAGGCGCAAATCTTCATGATCAAGCTATCAAAAATTTACGCATTACGCCAATCCCAATAAGGCCACAATTGAACGCACCTGATCAAGAAGTCCCTAATCAAAAACGACTCGTTTGGAATGAAGACAACGTATCTGGTGCAAATAATTCCGTGGTGGAATGATCACGATTCCAGTTTATCTGGTAGAAAGGATTGTTCATCCCGGGGGAACAGATTCCAGACTACGGTGCTCTATCATTTTACATTCAATCAATCTATACTCAATTTCATTATTAAAACATCAAAAATCAAATCAAAAAATCAATCAGGCGCTGCGGTTTTTTATTTTATTTTTTTGTTTTCTATTTCTTAATTTTCTGTTTCATTTTATTAGAATTGTTGGTGGATTTACTTATGTTTTGTTAAAATGTGTGGTGGATTTCATATTGTTTTTCGTTTCTTAATCTTTCTGTTCTAAGGCTTGTAGGGATGTTAGTGCCTTGTTGTGGGGGGGTGTAAGAGTCACATGATCCTGGGAACGACTGCGGCACAGACATCACGTGCAGCAGTCAACAAAACCCTTCCAATCGCTCCTAGATTCCACATCATCATTGTGGAATCCGAGCTTACTAGGGGTTGGGCGAAAAACTGGTCAACCAGTTTTGCCAATTTGAGAAGTTGGTAGAAGAGAGTTGAAACAAGTGCAGGTTTCACAGATTGAGTGGGTACCATTGAAATCATCTCAAAGCGCATCAGAGCAGCACATTGAGGGAGGTTAGGTGATACCTGGGTAAGTTTGGGATAGAAAAGTTGAAGCCATAGATGTGTGAAAGGTGAAAAGTGTCGTTCGTGTGGCTTGTAGTGGCACATATTGCTTTTCATTTTTATATTGGTTGGGCTTTGGAATCATCAAGAGCACTTCTCACCGGTCTACTTTTGGTGATTATTTTGCAAAGCAAAACAAACAACCAGTTTTTTTGTTGGCTTTCATATTGTTTTAGCAATCACTGAAGGACTTTCCTGAGCATTCGTAAAAAATTAAATTACGACTCAATGGACTCAGAAACTGGTTGGTCGGTTTTTCGCCCAACCCCTACTTTTCATACTTAGGCGTTTTGAATCTCAAAATAACTAAGTCCCAGTCTGGACCCAACCACCAACTCCAGAGAGGGACTTACACCTAAAGTCAAAAAGTTGGCTTGGAATCGGACGGGGCATTTCAAGAATTTCTAAGATCTCCCTTCCTTGATTATCCCACCAATCAAGTGTCTTTGGTATTATAACAAAAGTCAAACGCACTGTCCTCACAAGGATTTTGCCGCTCTCGGTGTAGAACGTATAACCCAACAAGGGTTATACAGATCTGGAAGAGGATAATCTACTAATATAAGGACTAGTAGAATTTGTCTAAGGACTGCTCTTCTAAAACAACACAATCAGGAAAAGACTCTGTTGTATTGAGTACTGATAAGGCACCTGAGAAATGTATCTTCACACGTATTTTAACTTCAAAAGCACACTTTGTATTACTGTCAACACTGCTATAGTGTTATTCCCAATTGATACCTAAAGAAATAAGCAATATCTGATTGATATTATTCCCAATAATTCTTTATGACTATAAAACTAAAGTAAATTTCTCTTTATAGCTGTAATAAAGGGTGTATTTAAGTGACCAGGTACTATTAAAATAAGTTTATGATGATAAACAAAATAATAATGATGTAAATGATAAAGAAAAAAGGGGAACCACAGTCTCAAAACCCTCTCAAAGTATATATAACAATGTACTAGAACTTTTACAATGGTCAACAACCTCAAAACCAATCAAATCCGCCCAAAATTCCCTAAAAACCCTATGATGACGCAATGTAATGATTTTGTTACTAATAAATGATGTAGTTTTCACAGCAAAAAGTGATCAATGACGCAATAATATGATGTACAGCACTTCTTATGATGAATACAGGTGATTTTTTCCTTGTAAACTAGCTGAAAACCAATTGTTGAGATTACGAATTTTTTTAGATGTGCTCCAATTCTTGATTACTAAAGTGCATCTTGTAGCCCACGTGTTACTGATCATTTCTGACACCTACATGACCTACTTCTGATGAGTGATGAGTAAGATATTGAGTTGTGAAGTTAAGGTTTTGAGCATTACATGTTGACTTGTGACTGTAAATTTGAGATTCACACCAATTCTTTATTTGCCTTATAACTTTTTTCGTACACCTCCGCTACTATTTATTTAAAGTTTGTAAATTATGTAATCCACTCTTCTGCGTTGAATGAGCCATCTACCAACCTATTCTGACGTCATTTGACATATGTAATTAGCTGAAAACCTCCATTTTCCACGAAATTCACCCATTTTCTCCACTTTTCACAGCTGCTACTCTCTTTTTCTTGCTCATGTAATATGAAATCATCCTCTATAACCTTAAAAATCCCGGAAAATCCTCTTGGCAACCTTAAATTCCATTACTACCACTATTACATAACCAAACTACACGTGTACCTCTTGTTTACCAACTTCGAAAAAGTGCCTTTTTTCTAATAACTTCTGTTTTGCCTTATCAACCTTCAAGATGAAAATTGTCATAGTATAATATAATGTTGTTCTTTCATATTCTAACCTCATAATACCCATAACTTTATTTTTACTAACCTAAAAACCATTTTCCAACCTATATACCTATAATTTGGAATTTTTCTTATGTTTTTCTTTCTTTCTTCTTGTAATGAGTTTGTAAGTAAACTAGAATGATCTTAATGAATGATGTGAAATAAAATGATGTAATGTTGACCTAATGACCAATACATAAGCCTACAAGAGCTTCAATTGATCTAAAAACCTCCATTTCGAATTTTCTTTCCTGCTGAATCCTGCTAATACAACTGGTAAACTGGTAATTGTGAATTTTTTAATTGATCCCATAAATTGATCACCACATTGGCCTCTCAATATCTCAATTTTTTGGAAACTTATCCACAAAAAGGTGTTTGGGGCCAAACACAGGGCCACACAGGGCCATCTCAATTTCAAAAGCTGCGCATCCAAAATGGTTTGATCCATCAATATTCCGTTAAGGTCAATCTGCAGTTTGTGCTCCTAAGGGAACATAAAGATAATGCATTATCATTTTCATCTCCGGGTGGTCATCTGGCCGCAAAATCACCGTAAGTGTGGGTTGCAAGAGATATGTTTGACACCAATGAAGATGAGATAGAACAATGAACTTACCTCAATTTACCAAGGATAAGGGTTGATGGAAAGAAAGTCAACCTGTAAAATTATGGACTGATAGCGCATCAGCCTGACAGCAAACAAGAAACAGGTTAGAGAGCATGGACATCGCTTTGATCAGGTTCATTTGCTTACCTCAGCTTGAATGAGATCACGCCACACAGATTCCTGATTCCCGGCGCCGTAAATGAGGTTTTGCATGCCTATGAACACGCCGCGAATCGCCCTCTGGGAGTACCATCCAGTTCCACGGAACTGCCGTTGATGCAGAAAGATTTCAGGTTCGCCGCGTGTAAGTAAGGCGAGCAAGAAATCGTAAATGGTCATGTGCTGGCTATTGATAAAGTTGATGATATTGACTGTCCTATGGACAATCAAGCTTTGAGACGGATGCGGGCTGGATCTGAAAAGGGTGGAGGCCGATGGCTCAACCGTCATTATAAATTCCCTGAGGGTCATGCCTTCAGCAAGGATGGCGTCGGTTATGTTGGCAATGCAATCCTCGCGCTCAAGTTCACTCTCCGGAATTATAACATCTAACATGAAATTAGCAGGATCTGATAGAGGCAATTCCAATTGCGCAGACTCTGAATCTGTTGGAGGCGGGTCGGAATCAGACACATATTCCAAAGGCGATGTCGCTAGAGCGGTTTCCGTTTGAGCAACCTCGGTATCCGTGAGAAACTCAGATTGCGAGGTGGACGTTTTGGTTGGATCATAGTCAGGTAGATTGGAATGTGGAGGTTCGGATTGTGCTGGTGCCGCGAGAGGTGCCTCCATGTTTATCTTTCGGTGTAGGTATGATGCCCAATAATCTGCGAGTAACCACATGGACCTTTAAGGGTAGGCGGGCGTGAGTTTTTTTTTGGGTGGTTCCGCCTACTCTCACAAGCGTCATACGCGTGGTTTCACCCATGCTTTTTGGTGGTTTTTTGTGCTAACGAATCAATCCCAGGAGGTAATGGGTTCTTTGTTAGGATGAAACTCAAACAAAGCAATCCCATTATCTCCTGGGATTGATTTGTTAGGATGAGGTTTCACCCTTTCTGCGAGTATGCTTTGAAGCCTAAAAAATGAATCCCAGGTGATTTGTTAGGATGGGATGAAACTCAAACAATGCAAAGCCACTATCTCCTGGGATTCATTTGATAGGATGAATGTCCACCCTGTTTTATAGCGAGCGGTGTCCGCGTTCCAGAGAACGCTTTGATCGTTATGAATGGATGACAGAGCTTTGGTTTCAAACTCATCCAATCCTCATCAGTAACCTAATTCTACATGATAACATGTTTTTAATTATTTTATGGTATCAATCTGGTCCTCTCCTACACATTATAGGACTCTGAAAGTCCTTCACTGCCTACTTAGACTAAGAATAGACATCAACACTCTCACTCCCTCATCCCCAAACTTAACCACTAGGTTTGCTTCACTTCCTAGTTAGACCAAATAAAAAATTGACAACGCTCTCCCTGCCTCTTCCCAAATCGCATCCAGCTTGACCACTTACGGATCTCCATCGAGCATGTCCACACCGACCACTGTGACTCATACCATTCGAATTTGTGACTTTATAACCCAACTTGGATGGACACCCAAGGAATTTATGGTGACATTCCTATCTTCCAATAACAAAGTGATAGAGCGACACCAATACCAGATAAAGGCGGGCCTAGGTTTAAGGCAAACACACTCCATCATTAAAACCTTTGGGAAATTGACGTCATCCAGCAAAACTGGGAGAGAAGAATGGGAGAAGTTAATTTTAGAAGAAGTTAGTTTGTATTCAAGATATAAGATAATATGTGGATAAT